ACTAGTCCACGGCCGTATCATTGCTACCTACGCTACCTTCATCGGCACTAAACCGCTGTTCAGCAGTAAGAACAGAAATAACATTTATCATACCTCTGCTTAAAGCTATGTATGGATCCTGCCTCCACTACATCGCTTCCCAAACTATTCCTCTTACTGACTACTCTGTGGCTGAAGAAATACTTCCTAACATCCCTGTGATTCATCTGTGTCTTCAACTTCCAACTGTGTCCCCTTGTTACTGTGTCCAATCTCTGGAACATCCTGACTTTGTCCACCTTGTCAATTCCTCTCAGTATTTTGTATGTCGTTATCATGTCCCCCTATCTCTCCTGTCCTCCAGTGTCGTCAGGTTGATTTCCCTTAACCTCTCCTCGTAGGACATACCTCTTAGCTCTGGGACTAGTCTTGTTGCAAAACCTTTGCACTTTCTCTAGTTTCTTTACGTGCTTGGCTAGGTGTGGGTTCCAAACTGGTGCCGCATACTCCAATATGGGCCTAACGTACACGGTGTACAGGGTCCTGAACGATTCCTTATTAAGATGTCAGAATGCTGTTCTGAGGTTTGCTAGGCGCCCATATGCTGCAGCAGTTATTTGGTTGATGTGCACTTCAGATGTGTGACTCACCTAATTTTGTTTCACCTAATTGTGGTTGCAGGGGGTCGAGACTCAGTCCTGGCCCCGCCTCTTCACTGGATTGCTACTGGGTCCTTCTCTTGCTTCCCTGAGCTTTGTCATACCTCTTCTTAAAACTATGTATGGTTCCTGCCTCCATTTACTTCACTTGCTAGGCTATTCCACTTGCTGACAAACTCTATGATTTGAAGAAATACTTCCTAACGTCCCTGTGACTCGTCTGAGTCTTCAGCTTCCAGTTTTTGACCCTTGTCCCTGTGTCCCCTCTCTGGAAACATCCTATCTCTGTCCATCTTGTCTATTTCCACAGTATCTTGTATGTCGTTATCATTTTCTCCCCTGACCCTTCTGTCCTCCAGTGTGGGCCCAGTCCGATTTCCTTAAACCTTTCCTCGTACGACTTTCCCCTTGAGCTCTGGGACTAGCCTTGTTGCAAACCTTTTGTATTTTTTCTCTAACTTCCTGACGTGCTTGACCGGGTTTGTGGGTCCAGACTGGTGCTGCATACCAGTATGGGCCTAACATACACAGTGTACAGTGTCTTGAACGATTCCTTATTAAGGGTATCGGAACGTTTATTCTCAGGTTCCCAGGCGCCCGTATGCTGCAGCGGTTATTTGGTTGATGTGTTGCCTCCGGGGGGATGTGCTCGGTGTTATGGTCACCCCAAGGTCTTTCTCCCTGAGTGAGGTCTGTAGTCTTTGTCCACCTAGCCTATACTTTTGTCTGCGGTCTTCTTTTTCCCCTCCCCAGTCTTCATGACTTTGCATTTGGCTGGATTGAATTCGAGAAGCCAGTTACTGGACACCAATGTCCCGCTGTCCAGGTTTTCTTTGCAGTCCTGGTTGTTGTGTGTTGTGTGTGTGTGTGTGTTTTGTGTGTTTTGTTGTGTGTGTGTTGTGTGTGTGTGTGTACTCACCTACATGTTACTCTATTTAGTTGTTGCAGGGGTGTCGAGTCATAGCTCCCAGCCCGCCCCTTCACTGGTCGATACTAATTCACTCTCTCCCTGCTCCATGATATTTTTTTCATACCTCTTCTTAAAAACTAATTTATGGAACTTGCTTCCACTACTTCACTCTCCAGATTTTTTCCAGTTCCTGACAACTCTAAGACTAAAGAAATACTTCCTAACATCCCTATGACTCAATCTGGGTTTTTTAGTTTCCAATTGTGTCCCCCTGTTTCTGTATTTCCCCTCTCTGAAACATTTGATCCTTGTCCCACGTTGTCAATGCCTCTTAGTATTTTTTATACGTTGTTTATCATGTCTAATCTATTTCCCTCGTATCCTCTAGTGTCATCACGTTGAGTTCCCTTAACCCCTCCTCATAAGACATACCCCTCGTTCCGGGACTAATCGTGTTGTAATTTTTGCACTTTCTCCAATTTCTTTGGGCGTGTTTGACTAAGTGAGGGTTCCGTACTGGTGCTGCATTTTCCAGTATAGGCCTTACGTACACTGTGTACAATGTCGTTTAATGGGCTCCTTACTCAGATGTCTAAACGCCAATCTCAGGTTTGCCAATCTCCCATATGCTGCAGCAGTTATTTGATTGATGTGTGCCTCAGGGGACATGTTCGTTATAAAGCTTACCCAAGATCCTTTTCTTTAACTGACGTTTGCAGTTGTTGGTTTCCTAACCTGTACTCTGTCTGCGGTCTTCTGTGTCCTTCCCCAATCTTCATGACCTTACACTTACTGGGGTTAAATTCCAGGAGCCATTTGTCGGACCATACTTGTAGTTTGTCCAGATCCCCTTGTAATCTTAACTGATCCTCTCCCTCTTGTATTCTCCTCATCAGTTTCACATCATCAGCGAACAGTGACACTTCTTAATCTATTCCTTCCACCATGTCATTCACGTATACAAGAAACAGCACCGGGCCTAGGAACTGAACCTTTTTTGAACCCTCTCGACCACATTCGCCCACTCCGGCACTTCAGCACGTACCAACACACGTTGTTTCCTTCCTGTCAGGTATTCCCTGATCCATTGCAGTACTTTCCCTTTATTCCTGCCTGCTCCTCTAATTTTTGCACCAGTTCTCTTGTGTAGTACTGTGTCAAAAAGCCTTCTTGCAATCTAAAAAGATGCAATCTACCCATCCCTATCTCTCCTGTCTTACTTTTGTTACCTTATGTAGAACTCAAGTAAATTTGTGACACTGGATTTCCCATCTCTGAAGCCGTGCTGACTATCATGTATGGCCCAATCTTTTCAATGTGTTCCACTACTTTTCTCCTGATATTCTTTTCCATGACTTTACATACTATACAAGTCAGTGACACTGGTCTGTAGTTTTAATGCTCCCTGTCTGTCCCCTTTCTTAAAAAATTGGAACTACATGTGCTGTCTTCCACGCCTCAGGCAACTGCCCTGTTTCGATAGATTTACTGAAGATTGCTGCTAATGGCACCCCACACAGTTCCTCTGCTCCCTCTCTCAGTATCCATGGAGATATGTTATCTGGGCCCACCGCCTTTGAGGTATCGAGTTCGTCTAGCAGTTTCTTCACCTCTACCTTGGTTATGTGTTTGTGTCCAGCGCCTGCTGGTGCAACCTACCTCCACAGTTTGCTGGAAGCATTCCTGACTCTATTGTGAATACTTCTCTAAATCTTTTGTTTAGTTCAACACATACTTCTTGGTCACTCTTCGTGAGCTCCCCCCCTTCTTTCCTCAGCCTGATTACCTGGTCCTTGACTGTTTTTTTTTCTCCTAATGTGACTCTATAACAACTTTGGTTCAGATTTAGCTTTTGATGCTATGTCGTTCTCGTATTGCCTTTGGGCCCTCTCCTTATCCTTGCATATTCGTTTCTGGTTCTTCTGCTCAGCTCCTTGTTTTCTTGAGTCCTTTGCCTTCTATACCTTTTCCATGCTCTAGCACACTTGGCTTTGGCCTCTTTACACCTCCAATTAAACCATGGGCTCACTCTGGTCTTACCATTTTTTTCTGTTCCCCTTTTGGGTATGAACCTTTCCTCTGCCTCCCTGGACTTAGTGGTTACTATTTCCATCATTCCATTTACTGTCTTTCCATCTAGTTCTCTTTCCCACTGCACTTCATGCAGGAAACTTCTATTCCTGTGTAGTCCCCTTTCTTGAAATTTGGTTTCTCTCTTTGTTCTCGTGCTGCTGCATTCTTCACTGTTAACTCAACAAGATATTCAAAACTCAGGACATCATGATCACTAGCGCCAAGGGGTCTTTCGTGGTGATAGCCCTTATGTCTGAACTATTCAAGGTGAATATGAGATCCAGCCTTTCTGCAACATCCTCTCCTCTCTCTCTGGTTGTATCCCTAACATGTTGATGCATGAAGTTCTCCAATACAGTCTCCAATTTATCTTAGCCCTCCATGTTTCTGGTCCCCCATGTGGCTCCAGGTTTTCCAGTCAATCTCTTTATGATTGAAATCCCCCATTATAAGCAATTTTGTCCTACCCATATGAGCCCTCCTGGCCACTTCAGCTTAGTGTATCCACCATTGCCCTATTGCACACATCATACTCTTCTCTTGTTCTCCTGCTGTTAAGTGGTGGGTTTATACATCACTGCTATCATCGCCTTTGGACCACCAGTCTGAAAGTGTTCCTACAATGAAGTCGTCTGTTTCCCTTCTTTCCATTCCTATCATCTCCTCAAAACTCCACTGGTTTTTTATGAGCAATGCTACTCTCCCCCTCCTCTGTTCTGTCTTTCCTCATAATCTGATATCCAAGTGGAAAAATTGCATCTGTTATCATCCCTGTAAGTTTTGTCCTCTGTTAGTGCTATGATGTCAGGTGATGCATCAATGATGCGTTCTTGCCACTCTTCACTCTTATTTGTTATTCCATCTGCATTGGTGTACCATACCTTTAGCTTCCTTTCCATTACTGTATTTTGGGAGATGGAAGAGGAAGGTGCAGGCTGGGAGGGTGGGAGGCAGGGCACAATATTATGGGAGGCTGCTGTGATTGCGGAATTAGTGCTTAGGGGGGGGGGTGGCTATGGAGTGAGGTTCGTTTTGTTTACTGTGTTTGGTTGATATGTGGCGACAGGGGTTGAGAGGTTTCTGTAAGCATTTGTGTTTGATGTTCCCCCCAAAGGCTGAGTTTTCCTGTCTGTCGTTGCCTGTCCTGTCTCTCTTTCCTTCCACTGGTTCTGTTTTGCTCTCACTTTCAGTTGTTCCCTTTCCTTTCGTGTTCTGTCTCGACTGAGGAACACTTTTTGATAATCTGGAGAGTCCTTTAACAGTGGTTTCTGTTGTAGTATCCTGTTCCGTACCACATCTGTCTTGAATGTCAATCTGATTCGTCGATTTTTTTCCCTCGAATACCCCACAAATCTGTGACAATTTTCTTCCTGAGACATGTCCCTCTATCCTGTTATTGCAATGATGTTCTTAATCTCTGTTTTCTCCCAATGCTTTCTTTCATCATAGGTCTGCCCTTCAGCCTCCTGAAGCCCATGAATAATTATTGACCTCTCAAAACCATACCCCCGGCCGGGATTGAACCCGCGGTCATAGAGTCTCAAAACTCCAGCCCGTCGCGTTAGCCACTAGACCAGCTAGTGGCTAACGCGACGGGCTGGAGTTTTGAGACTCTATGACCGCGGGTTCAATCCCGGCCGGGGGTATGGTTTATTTGCAATCGTGTCATTACGATTTCTTGAGTCATATTGACCTCTCCCTCTCCTCTTCCCATTTCTTTTCCTTCTGTATCTCTGGATCTGATTTAAGCATCTCCTTTGCTGTTTCCCTAATCATCTCCCAGACACCATGATGGCCTGATATTACTGCTGCAAAAGACTGCTTAGATCCATCCCCTCCTTCAGTCCCCTCGCTGCCTGCTGATGTTCCCATTTCAGTCATCTTGCTCCTTTTGGACCTCATCTTTAAATCCTGCTTCAGTACATCCATTTCTTCCTCCAATCTCTGTATCTTTGCCTCAGCTACTACAGCTCGTGATTCCCACTTCTTGCTCTCTGCAGATATTTGCTCTAACATGTTATTGCAAAGCTCGTTTAACCTTTTCTCCCATTGTTGTTCCATTTTGTTCTTGAGCCATTCTACCCATTCTTCCTTTTCCGACCAGCCATCATCGGTTCCCTTGCCTTTACGTCCTCCCTTTTGAGAGCCCATTTTGTTTTTATCCTGTTGGGATGTTCTAGCTGCTTCAGCTTATCGTAAAAATGTGTGTGGGTGGGGGGATTTATAAGCTAATGTGTTTTGTTAGGTTAGGTTAGGTTTGTGTGTGTGTGTGTGTGTGTGTGTGTGTGTGTGTGTGTGTGTGTGTGTACTCACCTAATTGTACTCACCTAATTGTACTCACCTAATTGTGGTTGCAGGGGTCGAGACTCAGCTCCTGGCCCCGCCTCTTCACTGATCGCTACTGGATCCTCTCTCTCTCTGCTTCCTGAGCTTTGTCATACCTCTTCTTAAAACTATGTATGGTTCCTGCCTCCACTACTTCACTTGCTAGGCTATTCCACTTGCTGACAACTCTATGACTGAAGAAATACTTCCTAACGTCCCTGTGACTCGTCTGAGTCTTCAGCTTCCAGTTGTGACCCCTTGTCCCTGTGTCCGCTCTCTGGAACATCCTATCTCTGTCCACCTTGTCTATTCCCCGCAGTATCTTGTATGTCGTTATCATGTCTAGTTGAGGTTGCGGGGGTCGAGTCCGAGCTCCTGGCCCGTCTCTTCATTGTGTGTGTGTGTGTGTGTGTGTGTGTGTGTACTCACCTAGTTGAGGTTGCGGGGGTCGAGTCCCAGCTCCTGTATGTGTGTTTGTGTGTGTGTGTGTGTTGTGTGTGTGTGTGTGTGTGTGTGTGGTGTGTGTGTGTGTGTGTGGGGTGTACTCACCTATTTGTGGTTGCAGGGGTCGAGTCTTAGCACACGCGTGTGGGGTGTGTATGTGTGTTTGTGTGTGTGTGTGTTGTGTGTGGTGTGTGTGTGTGTGTGTGTGGTGTTTTGTGTGTGTGTGTGTGTGTGTCGCGCGTGTGCGTGTGCATGTGCATGTGCATGTGCGTGTGTGTGTGTGTGTGTGTGTGCGTGTGTACTCATCTATTTGTAACCACCTATTTGCGGTTGCAGAGGTCGAGTCGTAGCTCCTGGCCTGCCTCTTCACTGGTTGCTACTGGGTCCTCTCTCTTCCTGCTCCATGAGCTTTATCAAACCTCGTCTTAAAACTATGTATGGTTCCCGCCTCCACTACGTCACTTTCTAGGCTATTCCACGGCCTGACTACTCTATGACTGAAGAAATGCTTCCTAACATCCCTTTGACTCATCTGAGTCTTCAACTTCCAATTGTGACCTCTTGTTTCTGTGTCCCCTCCCTGGAACATCCTGTCTTTGTCCACCTTGTCTATTCCGCACAATATTTTATATGTCGTTATCATGTCTCCCCTGACCCTCCTGTCCTCCAGTGTCGTCAGGCCGATTTCCCTTAACCTTTCTTCATAGGACATTCCCCTTAGCTCTGGAACTAACCTTGTCGCAAACCTTTGCACTTTCTCTAATTTCTTGACGTGCTTGATCAAGTGCGGGTTCCAAACAGGTGCTGCATACACCAGTGTGGGCCTGACGTATACGGTGTCTTGAACGATTCCTTACTAAGGTATCGGAACGCTGTTCTCAGGTTTGCCAGGCACCCATATGCTGCAGCTGTTATCTGATTGATGTGTGCTTCCGGAGACATGCTCGGTGTTATACTCACCCCAAGATCTTTCTCCCTGAGCGAGGTTTGCAGTCTTTGTCCACCTAGAATATACTCCGTCTGCGGTCTTCTGTGCCCTTCCCCGATCTTCATGACTTTGCATTTCGCGGCGTTAAACTCGAGAAGCCAGTTGCTGGACCAGGTGTCCAGTCTGTCCAGGTCTCTTTGAAGTCCTGCCTGATCCTCATCTGATTTAATTCTCCTCATTAACTTCACATCATCTGCGAACAGGGACACTTCTGAGTCTAACCCTTCCATCATGTCATTCACATATACCCAAAATAGCACTGGTCCTAGGACCGACCTCTGTGGGACCCGCTCGTCACAGGTACTCTCTGTGTGTGTACTCACCTAGTTAAGGTTGCAGGGGTCGATTCCAAGCTCCTGGTCCCACCCCTACATATATATTTTATATATATTATATATATTATATATATATATATATATATATATATATATATATATATTATATATATATGGTGTGTGTGTGTGTGGGGGTGTGTAGGGAAGAGAGAGAGAGAGAAGAAGAAGAGAGAGAGAGAGGAGAGAGGGGGAGAAAAAGAGAAGAGAGAGAGAGAGGACGGGGTAGGATAACTTACTCCCACACAATAAAAACACACGGGGGCTGTAACTCAAAAAAACTACTCAGGGAGGTTTCAAAAAAGCTGATTGATTAAGACAACACGTAGTGTTCGTGTGCGTATGCATAAAAATTTAAAATATAATTATATATATATATATATATTATTTTTAAATATATTTTTATATGTGGTGTGTGGTGTGGTGGTGTGTTGTGGTGTGTGTGTGTGACGTTAAAATTTTTTATGTACGTGGTGGTTGGGACATAAAAAACCCAACAATATGGGGTACTCGGAGGGGATCAGAAGATGTGGTTCGTTCATATCACCCAATAATAAAAATTGATACCCATCTCCCCAAACGTTACCCTCTCCCTGTATATAATAATAAAAAATGATATTCATAAAAAACTTTTTATAATAAACAAACACTTACCCACCTTTAAAAACAAACTTTACATCACACACACAAAAACATTGTATCATCACACTACATAAAAAACACTTTATCTCCACTCATAAAAACTTGTATCATCACCTAAAAAAAACAACATTGTATCTCACCTACACAACAAAAACTTGTTTCATCCATAATAAAACACTTTTCACACACACATAAAAACACTTGTTCATCACATACATAAAAACCCTTTGTATCTTCACACACAAACAACATTGTATCTCACACTAAAAACAACATTTTATCATCAATCCAACAACATTTGTATCATACACTACAAAAACAACACTTGTTATCACCACATAACCACTTGTATATACACTACATAATAACCTTGTATCATCACATAATAACAAAATTTGTATCACCCACACAACAAAACAACACTTGTATCATCCACTACACAAAAACATTGTATCTCACACTACTAACAACACTTGTATCTCAAAACCAAAACACACTTTTATCCACTCTCATAGTAAAAAAACCAGTACCATTCCGGGGTTACCGTTGACTAAACGCCCAAACCGTCTTGCGAGCACTATCTGAATTCATATTGTCTACCCAGCAGTATAAAAGGGCCCCCCACTGGTACTGGGGGGGCCATCAGTGTTACGAGAGGACGATGGGAAAAAGTACGGCTGGCAGGGCTCTTCCATAACTAAATTTATACAAAATAACACCAGGGGAGTATTTCTTACCTAATCCCGTATCGAATCCCAAATGATAAGGGGTGGCAGCGGTTTACTGGATTTACGTTTTTTAAAGGGGAAATTCAAGAAGTTGAAGGGTGTTTGTGAGAGGGCGGCAGGGTCAAAGGTGAAAACCCCGCCACCGCCTATCCCCCACAACCTCCAGCCGCCCTTATACCCTCAACACAAAACCCCTTTAGCCTGCAAGCCTGTGACCGTTTTAAGCTTCCTGGCTTAGTCGGTGCTAATTCTTCCATCCCCGGGGGTTGACCGGATTTTGCAATTAACCCCGTCATAAGCCAACTTGGAATAACCCCATCATATTTCCAGCCCGTCTCCGTCATAAAATCTCCCCCGGCTTTGTGCAGTCACGTTTTTCCAGTCAGCCATTCTTTGGGGTAACCAGCACCAAACCCCGCTTCTAACCCGCTGAGAGGGGAGGGAAATAAGCCCCCAGTAAGAATAAAAACCAATTCCTTGAAGTTTTGTCATACGCTTTGTGCTCCCTGTTGGATTTAAAAGTGGTTTTCCCCTTCCTGGGGCATAGAGTTGCTTTAAACCACCTTCGTGGGTAGAATGGGTCCCCCGGCCCTTTAGCGCCAGCAAGTCACACCCACCACCCCCCTTACTCACACCACCCCACCACCACCACTCTCTCCCACCCCTAGAACCTCATTACCTGTGGTTGTTTCACCCCTTTTACCGGGGCCTTAGTTTTGGCTCCATAATTGGTCAAGAGTTGTGCTGGCGCCCCCGAAAACCCCAAATTTTGAGATTCCCCGGGGGAACGACATTTCTTCCCACAAAGTGTGAATGTGGGGGCGTCATCACCCCTCCCCCGCCCGTCTATACTCAACTTCAGTGTTTAAATTTTCTTAGCATTTTTTTTTCATTAAAAAAAATTTGCGTGGGGGACATTTAAGTAAATTGCTTTTTGTCCTAAACCTTGTGTTTTAAATGAAACCGTATTTCTTTTACTCATTATTTTTCAATATTTTTCGTGTTTTCATTTTATCTTTATTTTTTTTTTTCTGTGTTTTTTCTTTTTACTCGTCTGTAGTTTGATTTTGTGTAGTGTACCATCAGTCCTCTGTGTGAAGTGATTATTTTTTTTTTTTATTGTATTCTTTCGCGTTTTATTCTCCCGTTTTAAAATTTTCATTGATTTATCAGTGTTTCACCCCAGTATCTAAATTTTTTATTTTTTTTATGTTGTCTTTTTTTTATTTTCCGCAGGTCTCATTCCTCTAATTTTTTCGCAACTGTGTACCATTATTTTAAAACCAGCAAATTTTTTTTCGTACCAAAAGCAAGATTTTGTGTTCGTCAAGCGGATTTTGTTGTAAGAATATATTATATAAAATGTGCTCCGCCCCTGTAAGTGTTTATTACCGTTTTGTTCCTGTTTTTATTTTTCTATTTTTATAATTTTTGAAACAAATTCACTCTTGATGCAATTTAATTAATTTTTGTAAAGTGTTTTTTCCTTACTCTGTTTTGAGTAAATTGTTTTTTCTAATTTACAATTTAAAAGTTAAAGTGTTCAATCATTTTTTTTTTTTTTCTTCATAATTTTATTTCATTATTTACAGGGAGTTTTCCCCAGTGACACTTTATTACTGACTGTGATTATTTCTACACCTTATTTTGTTTACACTTCGTTCAGCACGGTGAATTATTTCATTCTTTTGATATCTTTTATGGATTATATTTTAAGTTTGTCTAAGCATTCTTAAAAATACTTTTTAAAT